GGGGTCAGGGCGCCCCCCGGTGCCCGCCCAAAAATGGGGGGAAACGCCCCAAAAATGGGGGGGAAACACCAAAATCGGGGGAAAAAAACCCAAAAATGGGGGGGAAACACCAAAATTGGGGAAAAAAACCCCAAGAATGGGCAAAAAACCCCCAAAATTGGGGAAAACTGCCTTAAAATTGGGGGGAAACGCCCCAAAAATAGGGAAAAACACTCAAAAAATGGGGGAAAAAACCCCAAAATTGGGCCAAAAAAACCCCAAAATTGGGGGAAACGCCCCAAAATTGGACAAAAAACCCCCCAAAATTTGGGGAAACCCCCCAAAAATGGAGGGAAAACACCAAAAAATGGGGGAAAAAACCCCAAAATTGGGCCAAAAATCCCCCAAATTGGGGGAAAAAAAACCCCAAAATTGGGCAAAAAAAACCCCAAAATTGGGGAAAACCCCCCAAAAATGGAGGGAAAACACCAAAAAAAGGGGGAAAAAAACCCAAAATTGGGCCAAAAATCCCCCAAATTGGGGGAAAAAAAACCCCAAAATTGGGCAAAAAAAACCCCAAAATTGGGGAAAACCCCCCAAAAATGGAGGGAAAACACCAAAAAAAGGGGGAAAAAAACCCAAAATTGGGCCAAAAATCCCCCAAATTGGGGGAAAACGCTCAAAAAATGGGGGAAAAAACCCCAAAATTGGGCCAAAAATCCCCCAAATTGGGGGAAAAAAAACCCCAAAATTGGGCAAAAAAAACCCCAAAATTGGGGAAAACCCCCCAAAAATGGAGGGAAAACACCAAAAAATGGGGAAAAAACCCCAAAATTGGGGAAAACTGCCTTAAAATTGGGGGGAAACGCCCCAAAATTGGGCAAAAAAACCCCCAAAATTGGGGAAAACCCCCCAAAAATGGAGGGAAAACAAATTGTGGGAAAAAAAACCCCAAAATTGGACAAAAAAACCCCCAAAATTGGGGAAAACCCCCCAAAAATGGAGGGAAAACACCAAAAAATGGGGGAAAAACCCCCAAAATTGGGGAAAAAACCTCCAAAAATGGGGGAAAAACCCCCAAAATTGGGCAAAAAAATCCCCAAAATTGGGAAAACCCCCCAAAAATGGAGGGAAAACACCAAAAAATGGGGGAAAAACCAAAAAAATCAGTAAAAGAACCAAAAAATGGGCGGGACTCCCCAAAAAATGGGCGGGGCCAGCTCAAAAATGGGCAGAACCTCCAAAAATTTGGGTGAAACGCCCCAGAAAATGGGCGGGACCCCCCAAAATTTGGATGAAACGCCCCAAAAATGGGCAGGAAACCCCCCAAAAATGGGTGTGGCTCCCAAAAATGGGTGTAGCCCTCATAAAAATGGGCGGGGCTCTCAAAAAATGGGCGGGACCCGCCAAAATTTGGATAACCCCCCCCCAAAAATGGGCAGGAACCCCAAAATTTGGATAACCCCCCCCCAAAAATGGGTGTGGCTCCCAAAAAATGGGTGTGGCCCCCCCAAAATGGGTGTGGCCCTCATAAAAATGGGCGGGGCTCTCAAAAAATGGGCGGGACCCGCCAAAATTTGGATAACCCCCCCCCCAAAATGGGCAGGAACCCCCCCCAAAATGGGTGAAACCCCCCAAAAACGGCTGGGACCCCCCCAAAATTTGAGTGGGAACCCCAAAATTTGGGTGGGATTCCCCAAAAACGGTCGGGATCCCTGAAAATGGGCGTGGCCACACCAAAAATGGGCGGGGCCCCCCAAAAACGGGTGAACCCCCCCCAAAATTTGGGTGAAACTCCCAAAAAATGGGCGTGGCCAAACAAAAAATGGGCGGGGTCCCCCAAAAACGGGTGAAACCCCCCCAAAATTTGAGTGGGAACCCCAAAATTTGGGGGAAACGCCCCCAAAAATGGGTGTGGCCCCTGAAACATGGGTGGGAACCCCAAAATTTGGGTAAAATTCTCCAAAATCAGGTGACAGACCCCAAAATCGGGCAGGACTCCCCCCAAAATTTGGGGGAAACTCCCAAAAATTTACGTGGGAACCCCAAAATTTCGATAAAACGCCCCAAAAATGGGCGGGACCGCCCCAAATTTGGGTGAAATTATGCAAAAACGGGTGTGACCCCACCCCAAAATTTGGGTGAAACTCCCCCCAAAACGGGCGGGACCCCCCAAAAACGGCAGGACCCCAAAATTTTGGGTTAAAATCCCCCCCAAAAAACGGGTGCGACCCCCAAAAAATGGCTACGAAACCCCCCCCAAAATTTGGGGGGAAACGCCCCAAAAACGGGTGTGGCCCCTAAAAAATGAGCAGGACCCCCAAAATTTGGATGAACCCCCCCTCAAAAAACGGGTGAAGCCCCCCCAAAATGTGGGGGAAACGCCCCAAAAACGGGTGAAACCCCCCCCCAAAAACGGGCGGGACCCCTCCCCAATTTAAGCAGGGACCCCTCCCCCAGGCGGGCTCCGAAGCACAAATCCGGATTTTTGTCCCCAGGAATGCAAAGCGGGGGGAGGGGCCGCCGGCACAGCCCCTCCCCCACCCCCCGGGGGGGTCTTTTTGTTGGTTTTTTTTTTTTTTAGGGGGGGGGGGGGGGGTCCCCGGGGTTTTTTTTTTTTTTTTTTTGGGGGGGGTCCCCC